CGATCCCTTTAAAATCCCACCAAACAGAGAGCATCACCTTTTCCTGATGACTCTCTGCTTTCGCGATCGTGTTACGCGTATCTACACTTCGGGACCAAGACCGTTTGCGAACCACATTGTTGTAAACAATCCACTTTTCATCTCCCGTTATCAAGCGCTTTAAGAAAGGATCGTTTTCCTCACGTTTAAGGAGCATATCGCAGATGTCTACACGCGCCGTCAAATGAACCTCTCTCAGTTCGTGTGGTACCCAACGATCGAGTTTGCTTACGTATCCCAGTTTCTTCAAATGGTCGTGAACGGTTGAATGATGGATTTTTAAGCTTTCTGCAATTTCCCGTGTGGTGTAATGTGGGTTTGCTCCTATCAATGCCTTTAATTCGTCACTATCCAACTCAGTAGGCCGCCCTGATCGAGGTGCGTCATGGATATCAAAATCCCCATCTCGGAATTTTTTAAACCATCTCTGGCATTGCCGTTCTTGTAGTGCATGTTCTCCATAAACCTTTCTCAACTTTTCACACGCTTGTCTTGCGTTCTTGCCTTTGCGGAAGTAATACAGCAAAATGTGACGAAAATGCACAGTTTGGTCGTCCATCTTCAACGTCCTCTAAAATCGACGAGACTCAAATAAATCACTTAATTTTTTGGTGCAAATGAAGCTTGAAGTGTCAACTGTCAAACTACACAATCAACATACAAATGTCATTGACTCACGTACTTCCAACCATGCAATTGCATACTTTGTTGCATATACGTCATGACTTTTCCGACAACCAATAGAACTCGGAATCGAAAATCTGCAAATTCAAAAGTAACGCGGTAATGCCATTCAGCCTTTCGTTTTCGGACTATTTAGGCACCGTCGGTGTTGAAAAATGGAGTCAAGCAGGTTGACTCTATGCTTCCCACACGACATATCATCAGTTCAATGAAGATGATGTTCAGTGTAGGTTCCTCTTAAAAAGTAGTTAGGTACGAACATGTATAACAAAGGAATTCAATGATTCAGGATAGTCAAATAAGCCCATTCAATTGGACACCAACTCCAGGACATAACCCCCCCCCACATGCATCGGTCTCCCGGAAAAAAATTCATGTGGGCGCCATGTCTGAGCCGCAAGTCAGTTTTAGCTTTTTTTTGAAATTTGTTGCCCGTAGCTCCGCTAACACTAGATAGGTTTTCAAATCCGACAAAGCTATTTCGTCCTTGACACAGTACCTTGTGTCAAAATTTCGTCAAAATCCAGGCTGTACTCTCCAGGTTACAGAAAGGTTAGAGATTAGCGAACAGACAGACCGATGGAAATGAGAGATAAAGTTTTTTATGATATACGAGTACATCTCATATAACATCCAAAAGCCATGTTTTTAACGATTACAATATTTATGCGCCAGTGATGTAAGAAGTTGTAAAAATATTACGTGATTAATAGCCGACCCTGAGGCTGAACAATTTTTAGGAAGTATTTTTCCTCAAACATAGGACAGTCCACTGTCTAGGACTATTTAAGATCTATTCAAAGCACTTTTGCTTATCTAAATATCATTCGGCGCCAAGATTATAGTTTTCATCAATTATCAAACCACGTAGTTTTGTTCTACAATTTCTTCTATGTCAAAGTTGTACTGTCTTCAATGCAGCTAGACAACATTCAATTTACGTATCCTACCAACAATGTACATAGATTTTTTCAGGAGTCGTTGAGAAAATTGTTTTGCGGCAAATGCAATCTTCGGCTTTGGGGGTCTTACAAGAGAAAATTGGAAATTCTGCCGAGACCATGTAAGTGCACGATGGAATATGAGGACGTAACTTCAAAATCGTTATGGTTCTTCATGACTAGAGGAAAATTAAGTCATATTCAGTGGCGTCACTACAAGGTTATAACGGGTGATTTTTTAACAGGTATAGGACTTGATTTTAAAAAAAAAACAATAAATTAAAAAAACGATTAAATCTTTATTTGAGTCGATAGAACGGTCGATATAATTTAATGTTTAAAGATTATTTCATGTAAATGTTGGCCGCGGCTCCACTTTAGATGGCCCATGTGCAAGGTCCAGTTTTGGCACACTCTCTCCAACATATCGGCCGGTATCTCACGAATAAATGATTCAATATTGGCTTCCAGTGCATCAATCGTTGCTGGTTTATCCCTGTAGACATTAGCCTTAACATGGTCCCACAATAAATAGTCCAACGACGTTAAATCACACGATCTAGGAGGCCAATTGACGGGCCCCAAACGTGAAATAAACTGGTCACCGAACTCGCCTCTCAATAGGGCCATTGTTTCGTGTGCGGTGTGGCATGTGGCACCGTCTTGTTGAAACCACATGCCAGCCAAGTCCAGCTCTACCATTTTGGCAAAAAAAAGTTTGCTATCACCGCACGGTAGCGCTCGCCATTCACAGTTACGTTTCGGCCATTGTCGTCTTTGAAGAAGTACGGCCCGATGATGTCACCGGCCCATAATCCACACCAAACAGTGATTTTTTCGGGATGCATTGGTAGCTCTTGCAATGCTTCTGGCTGGTCTTCACTCCAGATGCGGCAATTTTGCTTGTTAACGTACACATTCAACAAGAAATGAGCTTCGTCGCTGAACACAATTTTTCGATAAAAATGTGGATCTTCCTCCAACTTTGCCAGCGCCCACTCACCAAATGGGAAACGTTGTGGGAGGTGGTGTGGCTTCAATTCTTGCACCAGCTGAAGCTTATAAGGTTTTACACCCAAATCCTGTCGCAAAATTTTCCACGTAGTGGAGTAACAGAGGCCCAATTGCTGGGAACGGCGGCGAATCGACATTTCACGGTCATCACTAACACTGGCGGATACAGCCGCAATATTTTCTTCAGTCCTCACTCTACGGCTGCGTGTTGATGGTTTAGTGTCCAATAATGTAAACTGGGTTCGAAATTTAGTCACAAGCTTCCGAACAGCTCCCTCAGTAGGCCGACCAAATTGCCCATAAATTGGAAGCAGTGCTCGATGCACTCTCTTAACCGAGCATGAATTTTGATAGTAAAATTCAATAATTTGCAAGCGTTGTTCGTTCGTAAGTCGATTCATGGTTAAATTATAGACCAAACTGAACAAGTTTGACAATGCCACAAGACACGATTCACGCGTCATCTGTCAAAAACAGTGTTGCCAAAAAGATACTAGCAAAAAAATCACCCATTACAAACTACCTACAGGCTGAATAGGGTACGAGGTCTGTAAATTAAGTAATGAAATTGACAACGTAGCGTTCGATCTGGCAACACTGCAGGCGCTGTCGATAAACGAATTTCTGGCCACGAAAAACATTCATGTTATCCTTATTCGCCGGTCTTGAGCAATTGTGACTTTTTTCTCTTCCCAGTTGAAAAATCACCTCAATGGAACTCATTTTGCGACAGTCGAAACCTTTTAAACGGCTGTAACCGACCAGCTGAAGGCTACTCCAGTATCGGGGTTCCTGCACTGCTATGAGGAGTGGAAGAACCGTGCTCTGTGTGCTTCTGAAGGAAGTTATTTTGAGGATGAAAATTTCGAAAAAATTTACAGACCTCGTACTATTGATTTCCGACTCTGGGACCATAATCAACCGTATACAATGATGGTCAAACTCTTTAGCAATCATCAATACGGTACAGGTCGAGTCATTTGAGGACAGATGACGGAAAGCAAGCAAGAGCAAATAGGGCTTTTGAAAAACTCATTACCCACAAAATATTTACAAGGCTGGGTTCTTACATTGTTACAGAGTGTACTTTGTACTACTCTCTATCAAATTTAGCGTCTGTAATTGTATGACGTCGTAAATACAACAAAGTAATCCTTCAGGAACGTAAAAAGTGCAGTTTTCATTTCATTCTTAAAACCTTGGGAATAAGAGTGTTGTCACTTGCCATTCACATGATTCATTGTTTGTTATCTTTATTTAGTTATGAAAAAGTACTCAAAATTGGCAGAATATATATTTTTCATCGATGAATGGGCTCCTATCGATAGCGTTTCTTATAATAAGTACAAAGGTCGCAGGAAACGTGGTTAAAAATTGGTCAGCTATCATCATGTGTCATTGCATGACTAATAATTTAATCGTTATAAAAATAAAGTTCCACAGTATTCCAGAATAAATCTTCATTTGCCAAACTACATCACCAAGTGCTTTACAAACGCGTACTGTTCACGATTCTTCATTAGGCAGCAGCGGTGGCCGCAGTAGTAGACTCTTCGGTCTCCTGATCAGTCGCCGTGCGCTGTGCGGGTTCGAGTCCCGTCCCAGGAGAAATTTGTCTCTTGGCTATGGATGTTGTGATTGTCCGTAGGTGGTAGACGGTCTCTCACTGTCGAACATGGAGGTACCACCCGGCGGATCTCGTAGGCGGAGCCAGAATGTGTGCATGCTGCATGCACACGTGTTCCCTCGCCAGAGTCCGTGTGGCGTCCCCCCTTTCCCATGTATCCCCCTATGGCCCCACGGTACCCAATGGGTGCTTAGGCCTTAGGCCGTCGTGGTAGTTGGAATATAAAAAAAAATTACGTCCAACGTCACAGTAAATAACAGCTAATTATCTAATAGCATTCAAATGACGTATAATTTTGACGCGTCTGTCAAAGCCAGATCTGTAGACAGGGTCGTATTTTGTTGTGTTTTTATACGGCACGCATACATACTTTCTAACAACGCTGTTTTTAAGAGAAGATTAAGACAAAAAAAACGATACAAGGAACATGGGTGCTATTGATCATGATTAGATTGCACGTCAGGTAGGAATACAACAAAATAAACACTTAATGACTATTTTTGTTTGTTTAATTTATTGGCTTTAGAACTATGGTCCATGCAATGTGGCGTTTTATGATCATTACTCTATTTCAAGTCAGGAAAGAATAATACAATAAGCAGTTTTTGACTATGTTAACCTGAAAAAGAACATGACTTCGAAGGGAAATGAAAGTGTCATTCAATTAGTTCACAATGTGTCGGAGTATATGACCATATTGACAGAGGTTCGATTTCCTGATTCAGGTCTCAACATTACTCGGGTAATTCTAACAAGTTTTGAATTAGAGAATGTAAGTGAAATGTACAACTATTCTAGGAAGTCATGGAATGTACACAACTGGGACGATGCAGTGTTCGTGAATACAGGCGAGGACCAACTGTTGAGAACTATCTGCAAGAATTCAGAGGAAAAGAAAGCGTTGTATTGGAAAATATCAAGCACCACACTGATGACGGTAAATTAACCAGAATAACATATCTATATTTTTTAATGGTAGTATCATAGCTACTGGGAATGACAACCCAATCTGTCCCATTGCCTTACATTGTAATTAACAAAATCCAGATGTACTATAATCATTTTTTAATAAACATTTTCCTATATGCACTTTATATATACTAAGTGACATATAAATCCGAACACCCAGTTTAAATGGTTTTATTTTAATAAAAGTTGGTGAATGTATTTATCTTACTGTAAATAGCAAGTGAAAAAATGTTCAGCCTTATCAGTTGGACATTCCGGTTTTTATACTGTTTTTTTTTAATTCACTAACGCTCTAAAAATGAATATTTTAGCCGCAGTAAAGAATCAACGTTGGGGGATTTTGGTTTTTGACATCCTTTGCGATCGGTTACGATGCCTAGAGTACGGAGACCTGTACGTTTTCGTCAACTTAGTGAGTTTGATAGGGGCCGTATAGTGGGACTTCGGGAAGCTGGACTTTCTTTTCGGGCAATTGCAGTTAGAGTGCAAAGACGTGTAGACACTGTGGTTAGGTGTTGTCAGGCATGGCTTCGAGAAGGCCGTACGCAAAGAGCAAGGGGCACTGGACGCCGCCGTAGAACAACAGACCGTAAGATCGCCGCCTAAGATTATTGGCCTTAAGGGACCGTTTCTCCACTACCAGGTCCATTGCAAATGAATGGTTTGCAGAACACGGAAGACCTATTGGCATGCGAAGTGTTTACCGACGAATGAGAAGTTTTGGCTTGTTTTCGTACCGGCCACACTGGGTCCTCCCTTTAACTCGAGAACACCGACGTAATCGCCTTGAGTGGTGCAGAGAACGGTCACTCTGGGATCAGGAATGGAACAGTATTGTCTTTAGTGACGAGTCTCGATTTTGTTTAGGCATGCACGATGGTCGTGCCAGGGTTAGAAGGCGACGTGGTGAAAGGAGGAATCCACAGTTTTTTGTTGAAAGACATGTTTATCACACTGTTGGAGTTATGGTTTGGGGTGCTATAGCTTATGGTTCCAGGTCACCTTTATCAGAGGTAACATGAACGCGCAGCGTTATATCCACGAAGTTCTAGAACCCCATCTTTTATCCTATCGTGACACCCTGGCAGATCCAACTTTCCAACAAGATAATGCCCGACCACATGTTGCAAGTGTCACAATAGACTTCTTTCAACATAATGATGTCACATTGTTACCATGGCCACCAAGATCTCCCGACTTATCCCCAATTGAGCACGTGTGGGATATGATGTGTAGGAGATTGCTCAATTTGCAACGTCCTCCTCAGACTCTATAAGCACTTCGAGAGGAGTTGGTGGTTGCCTGGAATGAGATACCACAGGAGGACATTGACCACCTGATCAGAAGCATGCCTAGGCGCGTTGGAGAATGCGTAGCACATCAGGGTGCATCCACACATTATTAAAGGTCAAAGGGCTTTAAAGCAGTGCAATCATTTTGAAATTTTTATCATTTACTTATTATGCTTCATTAAGTACTTATACAAAATTTTATTAAAATAAAACCATTTAAACTGGGTGTTCGGATTTATATGTCACTTAGTATACTTTATAGTCATTGAAAGTATGTGGAAAAAGTGTATCGATGTTTGGTATAAACAGTTCTGAATTCGGTCATGAGTTTCAGCCGATTCATCATTGTCCAGTACAGACTTTAATGCAAAGATGCCACTTGATGATCAGCTCACTAGACGCCAAAAAGCAAACGTAATTTTTCGTTCGGTTGTCGAAAAAACATATTTTTTGTTTAAACTGAGCTCTGATAGATATTTTAGATGGATACGGATCTGTAAAATATGCGACAAAAACACCAATTTCGATTGACAACTTTGCGGGGATTTTTAACAATTATTATTACACGTTTTGTTTGGATTTGGTGGCTAAAAAACATATAACGAAGTAAATGATGCATGGTATTGCACAAAAATATGTTGCGATATAATTCCATTAATATTTATCGCAATACGGGGAATGAACGATATCAACCTGAAATGTGAATTGTGGGTTTTTGTTTAAAATGAGTTTACGAATCTATCGTCATAAATGTCCTGAATTAAAATATGATATTCGACTGTGATTTTTATAAAATTGGTGCTTATCAATCGTCATATTATGAATTTATTTGAGTGGGTGCCATTATTAGTTCAGTAAAAGTGGTATATATCGATTTAGACTGCCTTAAATCCATGAGAGTCTTCTGTAAATGCAGGATTTATTTCGTTCTTTGATAGACTTTTACTTAGTCCAGTCTTTTTCGGGCTAACTTATCGACCTTTTCCTTTGTGCCCTCTGTGTGCTAGTATCCAGAGTCGTGGCAACTTGTTTAGGTTTCCCAGCTCTCTGAGAGTGTTCATGTAATCCCCAGCTTAGACATTCGAACTCAAAGATATAGTTTATGTAAATGATCGGAATAGCATCGGAATAAGTACGGTGACATTGAAAGCGTAGGAGTTAGACCGACATCCACCACGCAATGACATTCATGGCCATTGAAGCCCGACGAGCAGCGATCACTTCACGGCGCGTTAGGAACTCGAATTGAAATTCCACAACTAAAAGAAACAAACCGACAAACAAATGCAGATATTTTAAGCATAAAATTAGTCGGGTTTATACAGCTAACAGACTGTATCGACACTATTGTTTGCAGAAGAAGAAGCATTATCTTGCCAGTTTTACGATGGAATTTCGTGCTCGCCTCTAATAGGTAATAATTTTAATAAAGGAAAACGCAGATACCGACAGTCTCAATTGATTGAATATTGCAAGTGTTCTGTACTTAACCTTGTCGTCAAATAACATTTAAGCTTGTCACGATCTTGACTTTGAGTTCGTAAGTTTTCCTGATTTTTCCACTTCCAGTGTAAAAATGAGATGCTTCCATTGGGAATTTTGATTTTACCTGGAAGGTCATGGTTGATCCCCACAAACCTCACAACTATGCTGCCAGGAGAAGTTTCAAGCAGAAGTTGTAGTGTTTCGAGGAGGCAAAATGATGGTGACCTTGACAATGACCTTGGCTACGACTTATAAGGTCAGGTAAATATTTTCAAATGGAACCTCCCATTTTTCACATCGGAAATGAAAAGTAGAGGAAATCTTACGTCCGGATAACATCTTGACCATGATCTTGACCAAAACCGTCCATGCCACTTCAAGGTCAAATCAAGACATCGAAAACAATTTGCTCTAGCAAGAATGTTTGACAGCACAGTTGCGAGGTTGGTGGGAATCACCCAAAGGCGACCTTCACCAAGGTGTATATCAAAATTTTCAAAAGAAACCACTGATTTTTATACTGCAATTGGAAAAAATCAGGGAATTCTACGTCCTCATGTGACATTGACCTCAAATGACATTTTAGCTTACCACAGTCACTTTTGGAAGTAGACTTTCCTGCTTTTTTCATTTCCACTGTAACACTGAGAGGAGACCATTGGACATTTCGACTTGACCTTGCAGGACATGGTCAAGGTCACACTTGGGTGATCCCCACAAACCTCAAAACTGTGCAGTCTCACGTTTTGGATAAAATAACTAGTTTTAACGTCTGGAATAGACCTTGAAATGGCCTTGAAGAATATATTCAAGGTCATACTTATGATAAAACGTAAACGTAAAATTGTCTCCTGTTTTCGATTCCGATGTTTGATTTAAAAATGTGACCTTAAAGGTCATAGTCAATGTCATTGTCAAGGTCACTATCGTTTTGCTCACTTGAAACCCCACAAGTTTTGTTTTAAATTTTTCTTGATGTGTAGTTTCGAAATATTCAGGTGAATGATATTACTTCAAGGGTCCCGGATCTCACGCATCCCGCGGGATTGAATGAGCTGCGGGATTGCGATTAGTAGGCTGACCCAACTGTCAAGTGCAAACGAAGGTACACATTGTTAGTTATTGAGTCTGATCACTCCTTGTGTACATAAAACTATAACATTCTCAGCAGCAATCAGCACTTTTACGACAAAACGATTGCAAGGGAACCCATAATATGCACAGAGGTGATTTGCCTGGCAACGAACAAACTCGTTACCAGTGACGGTAGAAAAAATTCCCAATTTGCACCGGCTCGCAATTTAAAATAAATTCTTCGAAGAGTTTGTTTTGTGTGGGCAGTAAATTTTATTACTCGCAGATTTATTAGAACACCGGCGGTCGTAATTTTTAAGCTCCAGTCTGTTATTAAATATCTTTTGAAATGTATGCCGCGTTCCAAAAAGATTGCAACATGAAGGTGTGCCTTCACGTACTTGCAAGGATTGCTTGGTAAAATGACATCTTAGTTACTTGCTTATAGATGAGTGAAACCACCGCTCTTTCATGGAATTGCCCTACACTGGGATCCCAGACATGTACAAAGAAGTGTCAGTCTGGGTTGGACCGGGTTCCTGCAATGGGCCCAACAAGAAATACAGCGATACAGATGACTTTTATCCCTTTTTGGCCACGCCTTAAATGTAAGAGGTAATGGTAATGACCAGCAATGCTGACAGCACGGCTAAAATTTGAACTTGATATTGAAGAATTTCGAATACGTTTTTTGGATGTTATACGACAACTAAATCGCGAAAAGCCATGTAACTCATTTACGTCGGTTTGTCAATCTGTCTGTAGGCGTGTCTGCTAATCCTTGGCCCGTCTATAACTTGGAAAGTACTGTTAAGATGAAATTTCCGCACTAGGTTACTACTATGCAAACTTCAGTTTTTTTGACGTTTCGGCGACTGTGGTTCATTTTTTAAAGTTCCTTTAGGAATAAACAGTTGGAGGTGCAATGTTCGTGGGAGGGGGGTGGCATAGCCGACGAACAATAAAGTTTCAGAGCGTACGCGTAAGTTGACCCATTTACTATGTCCATTTGTCCAAAATTACGAAGTACAGTACAACCTACTTGACACCATTTTTTTAATGGAATCAGCACTCCATCAATACTTTACAACCCTAGAGTAGAACGTTATAATAATACCCTACTTCTTATTTAGGGAGAGTCTCAACCTGAATGTGCAATCAAACATACAATATTTCGTTTAAAAAACAGACATAT